AACGGGAACGATGGTGGATCGGGTAAGAAATGGGATGTAGTGAGTCAAAATTGGAATAAGGTCAATGTGCTCTGGTGAAGCCCAACCCTTCCTGTGGGTGGGGGTTGAAAAAGAAAGTAGCACCACACATCATGAGCCACCCACTCTAACATGTTTATGTAGTCATAGAGTAAAACGTATTCATGTCACAATTTCTTAAAATATGAATTGTCAATACCGTACTTAGCTTAGATAACTTAAACTGAGAGATCAATAGCTGTATAATTTTTACTGGGCCTGACAACTGTGCATTCAAGCAAAGTTTTATAGTTGTCTTCTTGCCTCACCTTTATTTCCCTACGTGGTTCCACTGTCGATAGTCACAACCTCACCACCAGGCCCTGGCTAGTCTCTGGCTTTTCTGCCTTCTGCCTTCCAGATTCACAAGTCTTTCCCCATTGGTGTCTCCAGCTTCTCATTTCAGATGCAGTTGCCTCTCCTTTTAGGATGGTCCTGTTCAGCTCCCCTGTTCCCCACACCAGGCTATGATGCTGTCAAATCTACCTCCCTTACAAATGCAAGCTCCATCAGGACAGGCCTCATGTTGTCTTGTCCCATTGCATGTCTCCGATGTTTAGAACTGCACCAGCACATGGTAGCTCTCAATAGAGGTATTTGCCTAGTAAATAAATGAGTGGTGACTGACTGAATCAGATTAGAATTTAAAGACATTGTCTCAGTTTCTTACAATTCAAAAGCTATGCTCCCCCACTATGCTGGCAAAGTGCTTAAGACCCCATAGAACCCATGTATTGAGTTTTGAAGACTGATGTGGGCTGACCTTGCAGAGAGATTTCCTACACCATTGCAACAAGTGGTTTGGTGATGGAGACCACCGAACATTGCTGGACCACAGGCCCAAGGACACGGCCCGGTGAACTATGCTGAAATATCCCCACCCTTCAGCCTCCCTGGAGAACCTCATTCTGATAAGTCCTTGCTAGTCACCACGTCCGCATTTCTGCACACCAGCCAGTGATTCACAGCGAGAGAACCGTTTCCTCCTCTCTGTTTGAATCCACACTGATTCTGTATTGCAGGAGGAATCTAAGTGCTTCCCAAATACCAACTGTTCCATATGGTAGTGCAATTGCCATTCTCACTCCCGCAACACTGTGCCTGTCTACCTGCACTCACAAGGCACCTCGCTGGAGTCTGGCAGGACATCATGAACTCCTTTTCTGACCTATATTTGCGGACACATTTGTTGTTGTCCCTCCCTTTACAAAATTATTAATTTTGTTGAAACAACATATATATTGGACAAATACAAGTTTTATTTGCTTACTCATCATCATAATCATTTAGAGGAGAATATTTATGACCCATTAAAGGGGAATTCTTAAGCTAAATTGTCTTAATAAGAAATTCAGATGTTCCTCTTTTACTGAAAAATACAAAGCTGTTCAAACAAACATGTGGGCCAAAACAATGCAGCATCGACACACACAAGAGTCCCAGAGTGTCTAGTGAAAAACATTAGCTGAAGCCAGACAACTCATCTACTGTTAGTCTTCTTAACACCAAGTAATTCTTTGACTCTTTTTCCCTCAACTTTTCAAGCTTATGATGCAGCTAAAGGTCAAGGGACTTACAACCCCACAGTTTTCCCCTTTACGTAGGATAAAGCATGTTTCCTAAGAGCTGGGGGTCTCCCATTCTATTTTCTCGCTCACGTATTTAGTGAAAGGAAGCTCATGCAGTTATGAGGGTAGTGGTGGGGGGGAACGGGGAAATGAGCCTACCACAGTTTTTTTTAATCCACTCATCTGCTGATGGACACTTACGCTATTTCCAAATCTTAGTATTGTAAATTGTACTCCTATGAACACAGGGGTGCATATATCCTTTCTGATTGGTGTTTCTTATTTCTTGGGATACATTCCTAGAAGTGGGATTACTGGGTCAAATGAGAGTTCCATTTTTAATTTTTTGAGGAAACTCCACAGTTTTTCACAGTTACTGCACCAGTCTGCATTCCCACCAGCAGTGCACAAAGGGTTCCCTTTTTACATCTACACAATGGAATACTAAGCTGCTGTAAAAAAGAAGGAACTCTTACCTTTTGCAACAGTATGGAAGGACCTGGAGAGCATTATGCTAAGTGAAATAAGCCAGTCGGAAAAAGGTAAATATCACATGATCTTACTCATTTGTGGAATATAATGAGCAACATAAACTGATGAAAAAAAGTAGATCTAGAGACATAGAAGCATCGAACAGATCATCCAACCTCAGAGGGAAGGGGCGTGGGGTAAGAGATCATCAAAGGACTTGCATGCATGCGTATAAACATAACCCATGGACACAGACAGTAGGGGGGTGAGGACATGTGTTGGGGGGTGGGAACAGCTGGGGAGAGGTCAATGGGGGAAAAAGGAGACTTATGTAATACTTTAAACAATAAAGAATTTAAATTTTAAAAAAATAATAAAAAAGAAAGATGAGCTTAGTAGGGCAGCTCACATATGGAGCTGGACAGTTTGACTCGGCAGGCGTAGCTCAAAGAGGCCCAAAGCTTGCCTGAGCCCAGGTGCTGGCCGCACCTCAGGAGCAAGGTCTGTAAACAGGGCTGTAACCAGGGTCCCACTGGCCGGATGACAGACACCTCTGTGAGCACTGGGTCTCTGACTTGCAGCCTTAGGGCAGGCTGTTTATCCACGACTGGGACTACTCCGTTTATCCAAATTGAAGGCATTTGGAAAGATACTAAAAAATATTTTTTATTGACATTATACTATAGTCCGGGTCATACTTTGTTTTTGTTTTTTTGTTTGTTTGTTTGCTTGCTTCTGTCATGACCATTTTCTCATATTACTTTTGAAATAGGATGGCTAATGATTGTCAATATTTCACATATATTTGCCATACCCTATGAAATGGGTACTATTGTTAGCTAAATTTTATAAATTTAGACACTGAGATGGAAAGTTAACTTGCTGGGCATCACATCTCAAAAAAAGAGCTGGGCTGGAATTTGAGCCCAGAAAGTCTGGAGCCTGGATCTTCCCACTGTGGTTCTTAGCCTCTGCTCAATACAGTGCTGCCACAGTTATATCTAATCATGCTTCCAACATTGGACAGATACATGTCTGTATGTGTGTGTACACACATTTGTATGCATAGAGATATATACTCATATGTGTATGTACATACACTCCCACATACACATATTTTAACTAAATGAGCATACAACTTCAGATCTATGTTTAATATAGGCTGTTTATTAAATACCTTTTTATTCTTGTTAAAGAAAAACTATGTTTTCCAGTGAAAAATTATCGCTATCTAGTAATCTCATGGTCATCTAAAAATACTTGGCTATAAAAGGAGAAAAACTTAAAATTCCCTAGGACCTATCCATACCTTCTTGATTTAGTATTATTTCTCTAATGTCAAAAACTGGCAATGTACAGATGTTGCTATCTACAGCAGGAAGGTTCTTAAAAACGGTATGATTTATTAATAAATGCCCTCCCCCGAAAACCATGGGGATCCCATGTCTCATATTCAATTGGCAATGACTTTTTTTGTTTTCAAAATTCTTCATACTGATACAATTGTATGCATAGGCACTCTCATACACTGCCCCTGGAAATAGAAACTGATATGACTTTATTGGAAAGGAATTTAGCAGCAAGTAGCAAACACTTTAAAACTGAAAAACTCTTAAATTCAGCAAGTTACTGCTAAGGAAGTATCCTAAGGAAGCTATGAATACTGGCAATTAATATCCTATCTAATAAAAGGGTAATATGTAAACAGACTGAACAGCAGAACAACCAAACAGCCATCAAAGCATAATATGCTAATGATATGCTAAGGCTGCTCAACCACTCATATGATGTGCACTGACCACCAGGGGCAAACAGTCAACTGGTCGACAAGTTACTATGATGTGCACTGACCCCCAGCGGGCAGATGCTCTGACTGGTAGGTTAGCTCGCTGCTGGGGTCCGCCCAAACTGGGACTGAGCAAGATAGGCCGGACAAGCCCTGAAGCCCTCCCGCAGCCCCTCCCTGGCCCTGATCATGCACCAGTGGGGTTCCCTCAGCCGGCCTGTGCCCTCTCACAATCCAGGACCTCTCAGGGGATGTCAGAGAGCCGGTTTCAGCCCAATCCCGCAAGCCACTCTCCTTGGGAGGGCACCAGACGCAGGGCGCATGGCTGGTGAGCGCTGCTGCAGCAGCAGGAACCTCTCCAGATCGGGACTGATCGGGCACGAGCCTGCAGCAGGCACAGCGGGGCTGGGATGAGCAGGAGGAGCAGGTAGGAGCTGCAGGGGACACTGGATTGAGGGTTTTGGCCCGTTCCCTGCAAGCCACCCAGAGGGAACCCACCCATGCATGAATTCATGCACCAGGCCGCTAGTAAAGCTGTAAGAGCATTATTGGTAGCATAAGAGAGAAAAGAAAATTAGAAGCAAATTAAATGTCCAGCTAGAGAGGATCAATTAAATGTATTGTAGGATATGCATTCAATGGTATGCTATATAATCATTAAAAATATTGTTGCAGATAAATATGTTGCTATGAAAATATGTTCATTATTACATTAAGATGAATAAAAATGTTAGATGAAAGGTGTTAGAATATAATGTTCGCTACTACCATCTGATGGTAGTTTCTCTAGCTGAATTTATAAACACCATCATCCAAATCATCCCTTTCTTATCAATGTCTTGGCATCCACCTTAATCAGTGATTTCAACATACATGGAAGTTATTTTCTTTCCCATAAGCAAGGAGGGTTCCATTTTTATAAAAGAGGCAAAAATAAAGAGATAAAGAATATGTGAATCTAGAGATTATGTTTATGTTGTGTGTTGGTGTGTGTGTTTGTGTCTATGTATGTGTAGGAGAATGGAGAAAAAAATATATATATATATCTCCCCCACTATCTTGGGGACTTTACAATTAAATGATCATTATTTTTAGTTAAAGATTTTGGAGATATTTACCTGTACCAGGTGCTTTCATCACAATGGAGAAACATAAGCAGTCGGCTCCTTCCCAGCAGATCTTTTCACATGAATTTTGCTTGAGTAGAAAGTGTGGCAGTAGAAAACTCAGTGTAAAATGCCTAGACCTGTAAGTACAAAAACAATATTCCCACTGAGTGAGGCAGCTTGCTGTGACCTTCATTCACATTAACTGGTCAGAGAAAAAAGAAACATATGTGCATAATCTCTCTCTCTCTCTCTCTCTCTCTCTCTCTCTCTCTCTCTCTCTCTCTCTCACACACACACACACACACACACACTCACCCACCCACCTCTCCAGGGATGACAGGCTTCCCATCCTATCTTTTGACCTTAGGGGCATCACCAACAAACTAAGCCTGTTCCTTTCCTTCCTTCCCTGCTTAATGATTCCCAAACTTCAGAGAAATAAAAAACAGTTATGCTCCAGAAAATTTCAGGAACATCACTGACTTTGATACTCTCTATGATTCCTATTAATCCTTCACACATCACCCCCACTCCATCACACTATTATTGACCAAAAAGCAGAGTCATTGCTGCACCTGACACTCAGCACTTTGGTCTCCTAGGCCCCATTGCTGAGCCAACATTGTTCATGGAGGTCATGCTCATAATTCCAGATTCCAGTCCTGTACCATCTCTCCAAAACTGATCTTGCTACCAACAATCCTGTACTTATTATTACCAAAAAAAAGTTAAACATTAAATCAACACCATCGTATTTTCCCCAGAGTTTATATGCCCCTAAGTCTTAGCATTGATTGCTCTTTTGGGATGTGACTATCCTTTGATTTTAATTTCCAAGTCATATTGAAATCAACATGTTCATATTACAATTAAGGGTAGATTTATAGTTATTTTAGTAAATTAAAAGTACCAACAAATCCCAAATCTGGGTGCCAACACACTAAGGAAAAAACTAAAATCCAAGTCCTGCCTAACTGGCTAAATTTTATTAGGAAGAAGGCAGTTAAAATCAAGAGCCATATGGAAATCCCTTATTTAAGATACATAAAGAGAGGAATTTCTATACATTATATCTGTGGTATAAAAAAAATACTTGTTTACCTATTTACAAGTCTTCATACTACATATAGATCTTAGAATCACTAACACAAAATAGATATGAGCATATCAAAGTTATTAATGGGTCACATATTGATTTCCCTTTTGTATACCTGCATAAATGTAGGTATGTGTGTACACTGTTCTGATTATGCCTCTGTGGTTTTTTGCGTGCCACACCCTTTGATTAGCATAGTTTTCCACTGAGCTCAGACTCTTACCCTAGCCCCCAGGCCCAGTGCAATTCAGCCTTCATGCTCTTTTCCCGTCTGCACTACAGCTTTTCTATCTTACCTTTAAGCCTTTAAAAGCACCTTGTTCTCCTACCCCTCACTGCTGAATAGCCTAGTTCTCTTCCCGAATAACCCACCTTCTTCATCAAGTGACCTGGTATCATTTTCTCCTCCTGCTTTCAGCTCAGTTCTGTTCTCAGGGAGCCTTTCCCGACCTCCTTAGCCAGGTCACTACCTTCTCGATACTTTTATAGAACCATTTTCCTGTGTTATACTGGCCACTTTTGAGGATTAACATTTTTTGATAGATTCATTGATCGATGCTTGTTTCCACCACTAATTAGTAAACTCTACGAAGGCAGAACACATGTGCTCTTGTCTACCCTTTTATCCTCAATATTCAACACAATGCTTGGCACATTATTGGCACTGTAAAAATCTGCTGAGTGAATAACTGAGGGAGGAAGGGAGGGAAGAACACTCCTTATCGTAATTAGTGTTTGTTGAATTAATCTGCTGATGGCTTTTCAACACAGAGGATAAGGTCTGCATTCCTTTGAACAGCATGCAAGGCTCCTGGACCTGACCCCATCCAGATGTGCAGCTCCTCCAGCTTCACTTGACCCTCAGCACCTTGGAATCCCTGTAGCTCCCTGACCAACCCTGCCTGGCTCCCACGCATCTCCACACTCTGGTCTATTCCGTTCCCGCTGCACAGCACTTCTTCAAACCCAGGCTCATTCTTCAAGGCTCAGTGAGGGCTGCTCTTCTGTGAAGACCTCTCAACTACCTTCTGGGAAGCTGAGGCCCTCTTTTCCCACTCTTCTACAACACTCTCTGCTAGAAAACAAATTATCATATTTTCTTGTACTTGTGTTTTAAGCAGTCCATCTCTCCCAATGCATCGCAAGTCCCTTAAAGCAGTGGTTCTCAACCTTCTGGCCCTTTAAATACAGTTCCTCATGTTGTGACCCAACCATAAAATTATTTTCGTTGCTACTTCATAACTGTAATGTTGCTACTGTTATGAATCGTAATGTAAATATCTGATATGCAGGATGGTCTTAGGCGACCCCTGTGAAAGGGCCGTTCGACCGCCCAAGGGGTCGCGACCCACAGGTTGAGAACCACTGCCTTAAAGGCAAAGGAGGGGTAGTGCCTCATTACACTATCCTCAGAGTTAGCACATCAGCCTTGAACATAAATAGTCAACAAATAAATATTTGTTGAATGAAAGTATACATTTCATATGTGCAAAGCTCCACAGTTGACTATTTAAATATTTTAATATATGTAGTATATTTAAATATTATTAAATGGTACGAGGCATAACAGTTATAAATTAATCTGTAAAATGGGGATAACACCTATTTCACAGAGTAGTTGGGAAAATTAAATAATATACCAGTAAAATGTTTAGCACCGAGCCCAGCACACTAGAAGCACCTAGAAATAGTATAACTGTATAACCATCATTGTCAATATTACTATTAGGACAACCATGTTGAATTTATAATTCACACTTCAAATTTAACAGTTTTATTTGACAATGACTCTTCCTACTAATAAAACATTAATTAGCATTAGTATCTCTGCAAAGCCGTAAAATGGCTGAAGAGGCACTCAGCAGACCAAGGATAAAGGTGAGTTTTACTCACTACAATCTATAATAATAAAAGCATAATATGCTAATTAGACCAGACGTCCTTCCAGATGTCCTTCTGGACTAAGCTGGAGCTGCAGCTGCCATAGCTGCAAGGGAGGGATCCAGGCAGCCGCCCGTGGCTAGGAAGACCTACTCTTGCAAGAATTTCATGCTTCGGGCCTCTAGTATATGTATAAAGTCACAAAGCATCAACACAGACGATGTATTGCTGTTCAGAAATTATCTATAAAATCTAAATGACAGAAACACCAAATATTATCATTCAAATGCCATAAATATTTAGCTTAAAGAATTAGGAATGTTTATTGCAAATTATTTCTTTTGCTAATAAAACGAGATATACATATTCATTTTATTAATTACTGGACAGAGTTATATAACTTCTATAAATAAATATTATGTTTTAGCCTAATTAATATGCCAGAAAGTGTATGAGTTAAGAGCAAAAACATTATCTATTAAGTGCTATGCTGATTTAGATTTGTTGAAATTTAATGTAACAGACTTAC